GGATCCACACTGCAGGGAAAAAAAGCAAATCCACCCCAGGAAACCAAGCATATAATCCGCTTGGGTTCACATCTGCCCCCAGGTTTAAATGACAGGCTGATTTTCTACTAGCTGCTCTTTCAGCCACTCTGTTTTTGCTGGATGTACAGTTTGTGTGCTGCGTATACACATTCCTTGTCCTGTCTTTCCTGTATTCGTCAACCCTAATAGTATCTACACTTTTAGCCCCTGTCTTGACCCATTTTAATTACCTTATTACCTCTTTGTGATAAGAAAGTCTTACCTCAGTGACCTTTTTAATTTCCTCAGTACCTTTCTGTTTTTTTAACCCTTCTCTAAGCGTTTGCTGCTTAGCCTTTTTTTTTTTTTTGGAAGCCTACAGTTTTCTTTCCATTTGCAAAATCCTCTTGATTTTCATTTTCTCACACTTCTTTTCAGATCATATCACATGGTTGAAATAGTGTACTGAACCATCAGATGGATAATGGACTGATGTTTTCATTTGTTTTGTTTTAATTTAACATAATTCCCCTTCTTATTTATATACTGACAAGTTTTCATTAATGATGAAAGTGATATTTGCCTATTTTACTAAATTCTCTACCTCCATTTAATGAATTTTGAACTGTGCTAGTTACTCGTGCTAATCCTAGGTAGAATTTGAGCAGTTATTGCTGCAAGTATCTGTTAAACGTTGTATAGGATTGCGTTTTAATTTAAGAATATCCCAAAACAAGACAAAAGCTGCTTTTTGTGAGTTTGGCAGTGGGACTGCATTGATTTTCACATACATTACTGTCTTTCTCAGGCCAGCCATTAATGTCTCTTCTCCTTTGTCTCCCAGCCACGTATGAAGCAGTTTGCATGTTGATTTGTTCAGTTCCCGGCGCTGCCTGGTGACTGAAAGGCTATTTGACGTCATTCTGTGATTTGTGTTATTTCTAATGTTCCTTTTTTTAGCTAGGTGTTTGATAGCCCTTTCCTGTGTGCTATTGCAGACTCTGGGACCCTGGACCTATGGACCAAATTTTCTCTGCTGGTGTACACTTTCAGTCTCTAATATTTATCCTTCATCTGTTCCACCTTCTTAATGACTACTCTGGTGTCAGTTTTGAGGAGATGTGATCACATTTCCTCATGATATATAGCCTGTCCTAGTACTGTAGATTACCAAGTGAGGAACGTGTTTCCTGAAACAGCTGTCATCAGTACAAGTCTGGAATACCTGCCCTTTTTCATTTAATTTTTCCTGTTTGGTCAGACAAATGAAATAAAGGTTCAAACTTCTCAGTCCCTAGGGAAGTTTGAAATCTCTGGCCTGCTGGGGCGATGACTTCAGTGAGACTACTGGTTTGAATAGGTGCTGATCGTATACCAGTTGCCTGATCCAGATGAGTGATAAACAGTTGCTGTATATCTTTTAGGACACAAAATGCATTCTTTGGTTTCATTTCATTCTTGGTAGCCGTGAGCTGACATATAAATGAATTGCATGTTGTTGACAATGTTTAGGAAACAATCACTGTACTAGAAAAGTAGTGGCACAGCAAGATTAATAGTAATTTATTACCTGCAAAGAATCTACAGTACTGTTTTACGCCTGCTGGTTATGTTTTTGCTTTGTTCATTGCCATAACCCTCTCTGTTGGCAGGTCCCAAACCAGCACCCCGGGGTTAATGCAGGTTAATGCTCCTCCAAGACGTATTAGGGCTCCTGTCAGCAAGACCAGCCTTCTCCTTGCTCCTGCGTTTCAGAACTGCTTTTCTAGGCTGGCTGCAGACTCAAGGAGGAAGCTCAGGCCTGGATGTCTAGTTTCAGCCATTTTTTCTCAGCTAGAAGAAAAATGAGAAAAAACAAAAGTGAGCAAGAAAAATTGGATTTTTAGAGTGCAACTCTAAGAGTGCAGGTCCATGTATGTTTGATTTGGCAGCAAAGTCCTTTGAAGAGGTTCCCACCTTCTCCCAACCCATCCCTCCCCTGTGTCGTGGTTTTCCACCTGTCAGTTCTGCTAATGCAGCTCCCTGTGGGAACGCAATGGAAAGCTTTCTGGAGGAAAGGAACAGGTCTTTAATGTGTGAGTTGTGTCACAGTCTCTAAAGTGGTTGCATTCAAACAACTGAGGGTGTGAAGTATGGCACAGGGCTGGACATCCAAAGGCAAAGGGAGCCAGAACTGTTAAGCCTGGACATTAGAGCCCTGCCAGGGGTTTGCATCATGAATCCAGCACTGAATACATGACTTACCACACGCTGTGTGCTGTCTTCTTAGTATGGAAAGAATGTTGCAGTACGAAGGTTGCTCACAGCACTGTACTTTACTTTTTGTTAATAGGTACGGTGATGACACCGAACTACATAGACTCAAACAGTCTCAGCGTTGCCCCATGGTGTGACTGCAGCAACAGCGGTAACGACAGAGATGAATGCATGAAGTTTCTGAATTTTTTCCAGGACAATACATGCCTTAGTGAGTACAAAATTAAATGTCTTTAAATGTGTTTTAGCATGTTTTCTGAGATTTCTTTATTGTTGAAGTATGTTATGATACATCAAGCCCAACTGTTTGCACTTTGTAAGCATGGTTCTGCTGTAAGTGTAAGAATTAAACAGACAAGCAAATATGCCTGATACAATAGTTTATGGCCAAGACTACAAACATGAGAAGTTCTTGGAAAAAAATTCTAATAAATATGTTTCCATCAGAGATCATGTTCGGACCCAAACAGTCAGGCAGCATCTGTACCAAAAAATTGCGACACCTGAGGGACTTCTGTATAATTTAAGAACTTCCTATAAAAAAGACATGTAGTTTATGATATGAAGGATTTGCTGTGTGTAAGTAGAAATTGGATTGCACTTGCAATTTATAGCCAAGCTTCAGGTTTTTTAGGCTACTTGATCTCAGATGCCTGGTTTTAACATAGGTCAGGCTGGTACCTATTTTCAAGATTTTGTTAAGTTATTGATTTTTTTTTTTTTTTCAGCCAAACTCACTTCCAAATTAGGGAGTATTATGAATTTCAGAATGGCTCGGTGGAGTCAATTTTGGCAGGTTCTCCTTTCACATTTCCTGTCTGCCTGGAGCAGCATAATTGGGTGATGTGGAGTGTGCACCAGAGTCTTAACTTCAGATAAATGAGGAGACCAAAAGAGCTTGGCTTCCCTAGCCTAGCAGCACAGAATTTGAAAGGATACATGATTGTCTTCTGAAATTGCATTAGAGGGGCAAGCCCAGGAAGGGAGAAGCATTACTTAACCTAGAGGGCAGTGTTGGCATGAGATCAAAAAGAGAGATATTGACCATAAATATTTAGGCTCAAAATTGGAAAATTTTTAACCATCAGACTAAAGTTAAGAAATAGGCTTCCAGCAGGAGTTTTGAGGGTAAAAAATTCTGACCAATTTTAAAAGTCATATTTCATCAGCTTATGAAGTGTACATCGTTACTTTTTTCTCAAACAGTGAATTAATTCGATCATCCAGACTGTCCCATCCAGCTCTACACACTTGAGCTAATGCTAATGCAGGGTTTAGTCTGTATTTTAAAATAGCGGTCTGAAAATCTCCATTGATAACTTCTCAACAGGCAGCATATTCTGAAGACATGGGGAGATTTGCATACAAAAGTGATTGACTGGAGTTGCTATTTGGTACACTATTTATTACGCTTTGGAAGAACTCATCAATTCCTCAAGATAATTTAATAAAAAAACCCAGAAAACTATTCAGACTATGATGGGGTAAAAGTTAATAATATAGCATCAGACCTTCATCAAACCTGATGGGGCTGCCATTTGTATATACTGTAATACATCAGATTTTATTCATTTGTAAATGTATTAATTGCTAGAATGTTACAGGTTCCTTTTAGAACATAAAGACAGAGAGATCCTTTGTCTTTTCTTCTGCTGTTGGTATAAAAGGTTTAATGAAGACAAATCAAAGACATTAGAGGTTACTGTGAGACAAATTATAGCCATCCTAGCTGTAAGAGATGTCTTCTTCATGTAGAAATTAAAGATATTTCTCATTAAATAAAAAGGTTTTTTCCTCTTGTAGAGAATGGGAGAGGTTCCTTTTTTTTCTTTTTTAATTCTGATTGTCATTAATGGGCCTTGCAGTGCTGAAGAAAATGTCATTTATTTGCTGGATGAGATTAAAATCCCTCCCACTTTTTTTTAGACAAAACAAAAATCTTTTTGCCACAATGAGGTGAAACTAATAATATCTTGCTAGTCTGTTTTGCTAAAGTATGTTTCCCCTTCAAACTGGAAGATAATCAGTGATTTGGGGCTTTTACAGAAGATGTGGAAAACCTAGCTTAAATGTTTACTCAAAACCCCATTTGGTTATTTATGCAAAGTGGAATAGCTGAGACTGTACCCTGAGGACTAGGGGACTCAAAAAGTAGGAGACCTAGGGTCACATTCCTGCTGCGTTTGATGTGGAGCTGGGATATAAAGCCGAGTTTACCATGTCCCATGTACACACCTGAAATCATGGTCTTGCATCTCTGCGTTCACTTCCCTAGCAATTCCGCTCTAGAGTTGAAAAGCCTTTTGCAACAGATGTTAAGTTGAAACTAGAGTGGAAGTTTTGATTTCAAAAGGTGGGTGTGAAAATACAAGTGAAAATTCCAGTCTGTTTAAATAATTAGTCCCAATAAAGACAAACATTGCATTGTTTTATTTTTACATGTATTAGATAAAGTGTTTCTTTATTTCAGCATTGTCTTGCAGAATATGTGGGTTTATATCAGAACTGTGAAGTTGGCTCAATCTCAAAAAAGCTAAAAATCCAAATTAATAGGCCCCAAATAAAATACATTCCACCCTAAAACCTGGGAATGTATATTATCTTGCTTATACTTTCATCCTCTTTATTGGAAGATGCAAGTTTATTTTTAATATTACAGTGGTCCTAGCTGCTGCCTCTCCAGTTAGGCTTTGGCCAATCTTAGCTTCTGGAAATCCATCTTAAGACTTTATTTTGGCTACTCTTAAAGTGAATGTCCTGACATTCATTTACATACTCTAGAATTCCTACTGAACTGAATGGGATTTGGTATATCTGCCTATCTCTTTGAAGGATTTGTTCACACCTGCAGTAAAAAGAACTGTCGAATCAGAGGAAAAGCATAAAGCAGTGAGTTAGGTAATAAAAATTATTGAACAGACCTTTACTAGAGCAGTTAGACTTTTGAAGCATCTCCTTACATTCATTATGTTTTTTGAAATATATTTGAAATAGGTATGGAGATTATGTATATAAAATACATATTTAAAATATAATTTATATGTTTGAAATATTAGAAAAATATGAGGAGATATGGAACACCTCTCCTATGAGGAAAGGCTGAAACAGTTGAGGTTGTTCAGCCTGGAGAAATCTCTGGGGAGACCTTATTGCAGCCTTCCAGTACTTAAAGAGGGCTTATAACAAAGACAGGGACAGACCTTTTAATAGGGCCGGTAGTGATAGGACAAGGGTAGAGAAGGGTAGATTTTGACTGGATAGAAGGAAGAAATTTTTTACAATGAGGGTGGTGAAACACTGGCACAGGTTGCCCAGAGAGGTGGTCGATGCCCTGTGCTTGGAAACATTCAAGGTCAGGTTGGATGGGGCTCTGAGCAACCTGGTCTAGTTGAAGATGTCCCTGCTCACTGCAGGGGTGTTGGGCTAGATGACCTTTAAAGGTCACTTCCAACCCAGCCCATTCTATGGTGCTATGATTCATTCATAGCATCATAGAATATCTCAAGTTGGAAAGGACCCATGAGGATCATCGAGTATGACTCTATGAAATAATTAAAGACTAATTGTAAAGACCACATTTACTTAGAAAACTGGAAGAGTTGCATGTATTTCTGGGATCCTTCCTGCAGTAATGGAAACAAAGAGTTATTCTTAATTTAGGAAATCATAGGAAAATACTGCTTTATGTATAGCCTTTATCAGGGAAAACAAAAATATAATTCTACTGTTCCCACTTGGTCTCCATCAACCCAGCTGATTGTGGTGCCTTTTACAAATTCTGCTCTTTGCATGTTGGAGTTCTAAGAACTGATATCAGAATAAAATACATCTTTTTGAGATGAGAATTAAATCTAAATTATTTTATAAGGCAAGGAATACCACTGAGAAGTATAAATAACTTCCACATATTAGTCCCCAGTGAAATTGTTTGATTTCTTGTACAAAGAATTTGAAAGAAGAAATCCCTAAATCCATGCTGAATCCCCAAAGACCTGATTAAAAACTGTTTTTCTATTTGTTTATAAAAAACCCCAACCAATTTACTCTTGCCATAAACACACTCTTTAATCCCATGAAACTATAATAAGCTTTTTAACTTTTATATTCTAAATTTTTAGTTTAAGCATGCTTCCCTCACCTAATTATGCAGATTTTGATTGAAAACTGTAAGGAAAGGATTGTCTTAGTTAAACTATTTTGTAGTTATAGGCATATTAGTTTTACTACAACAAGCTGTAGAAGTAATTTTTTGCCTGCTCTCTGGTTTTAGTTTGCTATGTGACACCACCTGCCTGAATTAGGACATAACATTCAGACTGCATTTTAAATCTTGAAAGTAAATTTTTGAGGCTTTTGTATGGTAACAAACATGATCAAAGTAAGTCCTAGAGCTTCTGTCAAGAAATGCTGGGACCATTACAAAGAAGAGGCTGCACCAGATAATTATGTGACTCCAGACTCTCAGTTCATGTTTCTGATATGTTCAAAATTAAGACACATTTTTCAGCATGAAAGTTGAGTTTCTATAAATACACATTTTCAGTGGAATAATAATAATAATGATTAAAAAGTCAATTCTCCTTTCTGCCATTTGTTTAGAAATAGAAAATTGCCTGTAATTTTTTTTGCAGAAAATGCAATTCAGGCCTTCGGCAATGGTACTGATGTGAACGTGTGGCAGCCAGTCTTACCAGTACAGACCACTACAGTCACAACTACAACCGCTTCCAGACTTAAAAACACAGGTTCAGAGACCACCAACAATGAAATACCCACCCACAACGATTCACCAGCATGTGCAAACCTGCAGGTAAGAGAGTCTTGGACTAGCTGCGATGCATAAATGGAAGTTTTTCATAGATACGTGTACAGAATAGGCTCCTGCTGTATAAATAGATGGCTGCTTAAATTGGAATATCTGTTTATTCCCATGTTGTAGCTACAAGCCAGATGTATTGTAGACTATCAGACAGTCTTATTTTAAATCAGAAACATGCATATTTCAAAGTCAACTTTATTGCCTCTCTGACTCAGAAAGAGGGCATGGTATTTAATTTGTTATCACAGGTTTGGATATGAATGTGGTACTCCCCAGACCCTGCCAGCATATATCAGATTAGATTAATCCTCTGAGTAATCCAAATTCAGAGGAAACTCTTAATGTCAAATAGCATGTCCTGCTGCCTTCTTTCTTATGTTATTGGCAGTAAACTTAAGAGGCTTTTTGGCTGAGTAGCTCTGGATATTATAAAATACGTGGTGCTACAAACTGCATGGTGAAGAAGCTGGACAAAGATAGAAGCTGTTTTGAATCAGGTGCTTTCCTGAACTGGGGTCAAGGTTGTGATGTGATTTTGGCCAATGGCTGTAGCGATTTTCTTTGACACTTTAATAAGGCTATTCACGGTGCCTCATTGATTCTGGATTTAAAGAGGCTCATCACGTGCTGAAGGCAGTATATGCAGCTCTTCAAAAGTTTGAAGAACTTGGGCAGAAGACAACTGTAAAAATCAAGGCAGGAAAGAAATAACAGGAAATGTAAGATAAAAACATGCTTAGGCCAGATAAGAATCTGGCATTATAGAAATTTCTGGTGCTTTAAATGCAAAATCAGGTCAGGGATAGATCAGCTTGGCCTGTTTGTTTTTGTCTTTACCAAAGGAAAATTGCTGTGACACAAATGAACGTGTCCAAATTTTAAGGTCTCATCTAGTTTTAAGATACTTTTTTTGCTGGATTCCCAAACTCTTCCACACTTGTAGCATTCACATTTCACTTACAAAAATTTGATTTTGTTTTCTTTATATTAAACTGTATCAAAGTTTCCATGTTTGCTAAAATGGACAGTGTGTATGTCTCGGAAACTTCATTTGCTTCGTAATTTTTCCTGCACTACTCTCTCACCTTCATCCTTTTCTAGTTTCTCCATTTATTTTCCATTGACAAATTTCATTTGAATTAACATTTTTAAGGGGCATTACATTGTCACAAAGTATATGGAGTTAATGGTAGATGGTGTTAAGTTTAGGTCCTTCTGTTTTAATTCTATTTTTCATATCTGTACATTCACTATTAGTTAAGTTTTGTAAGCTGTTGATGAGAGGGAGATAGTTGTGGGCATGTATGTCTATGTGCAGTAGTCACTTGACCAAATAGAATGTACTAAAAAAACCCATAACCTTTTAAACCTGGAACTTGGAATATCTTGCATTTAAAGCAAGATCTTGGTGGGATATTATTAATTCACTTCATGTTATATTAAAAAGTTGTTTTGTGGGAGATCACGTTTTCTTTCAGTGTTTGTACAGTCCCCTGTAGAGTAAGGCCTCCAGATGCTACCAAAGTACACTTGATAAATAATGAAGTGAAGAAATGGCAAGTGATCCCAAATCCCATTGGATTCAGTTTGATTTGCAAATGTTCCTCAAGCCTGAATAGACGTCCCAGTGTTCTGAAAATGAATTAAATTCTTCTCTGTCCTTACTCCTGTGACTCTGGCATTCTGAAGTCACATTCCACATGAGTTTATCAGCACTGGTTTAAAGCTATATTATGACTTCAAGTGCAATAAATGATCTCTGCTCTTTTGTAGAAACTATAGATTAGTCTGCACTAAAAGGTCATTGAAGTTACGTGACTCAAACAGTTTTATTCTTGCGAAGAACAACATTCTGGTGGTTACTACTTCCTTGTGTCAGAACTGAAACACAAAGAACAGAGCTCTTATATTTTAACATTTTTTTCAAAAAATAACTTACAAATAGAGCCAAAACAAGCCCTCACTTTTTTTAAAGAAACCTGTGTTTGCTGGACAGCGTGGTACCACTTTGCATGTGAGACTTAAACCTCAATGCAAATTTTACAAAAGAACTGGAGGCATTCACATCACACTTGGAGCAGGGTATTCATTCCAAGGCTCTCCTCCCATGAAAAATATGCCTTTGTAGTATTTTCAAAACATGAACTAGTGCGACCGAAAGCAATCTGAAGGGCTTTGTTATACGCTTAGCAGTAGAGCTGAAAGGTTTCTAAAAGGCAATATAGCCTAAACACTGTGAAAAGTAGAATTAAAAGCATTAGTCTCAGCACAGAAAGACAATGGCAGAGAGGGGATAAGGAAATGATCATTGAGATGCTACAAGGCTGCATATCCTACTTATAGTGGGTTGAAAAATACAGTGAAGGAAGAAAGAGCAGGAAGTGATTGATTAGTATAAATTGCCATAGACATGAACAAATACTAACCTCCTGGGGCTGTAAAATACAGGGCACTAACCCAATCTGCCAAGAGTGTCACTGGCTGAGCAATTTTTGATACTTTCTTTTCTGACTTGTTCAGAATGGTTGTAAGAAAAGCAAGAATACACAAATGGTTTTGTCTCTGTGCCATGTTCTCCTGCATATCTGCAAACCTGGGAATCAGAAGGGTGGTGGATGCTTAAAGAAAATACGAGAAACTCTTTCTTTACCTGTAGGCAGTAATTATTCTGAGTACCTGTTGAAGGTTTGGACTTCTAAATAATTTTTGTTTCAGTGACGCTGTTTAGAAATCATTCTTCATTTCAACTTACCGTTGCTACAAGAATTTACAGTTCTATTATGGTGATATTTTCTTATTTCCACTTGATACAGAGAAATGTTGATTTCTGATTTTTTTCTCTGGAGATATTCAAGACCCGGCTGGACAAGGTCCTGTGCAGCCTGCTGTAGGTGACCCTGCTTCA